TCCTAAATCTGTTGAAATAAATGTGTAGTATTATAATTTCCCCATTACTAAAAAAAAAAACAAGACAAAAGTAGATGGGACCTACTTTAAATTAGATTTATCATATTATATTATAGAACAAAAGCTGGAAAACCAGAAACTAAACATGTGAAACCAAAAAGGATGCAGAATAAAGCAGAAACATGGGAGGCAAAAGAACCAGGAGAAAGCAGAAAGGACCCAGAAAGAGCGGCGAGGGGGATCTGAGTGCATCCATAAAGCTTAAATAAATAAATCATAGAGTGGAGACGGCTGAGGATAATGAGCTCAGGAGGAAGAGAGGAGCAGAGGAACCGGAAAAGTACTGAGGAGACGGGTGGCGAGGAACAGGAACTGAAATCAGGGAGAGGAAAACAAACAAAGAATGCTGAGAACACTGAAAACTTTAAGGCAATTGCACAAATCGGATAGCAAAATAACTCAAACTGGAAACAAACAACAAAAACCAAGAAATCCACAACCTGGGACACTACAGTCATGGCCAAAAGTATTGAGAATGACACAAATATTATATTTTCACATGATCTGCTGCCCTCTGGTTTTCATGTGTGTACGTCAGATGTTGTCATCACATACAGAAATACAATTGCAATCATATTATGAGTAACGAAAGCTTTTAATGACAGTTAGAATGAGTTAATGCAGCAATTCCATATTTGCAGTGTTGACCCCTCTTCTTCAGGACATTCGCAATTCTCCCAGGCATGCTCTCAATCAACTTCTGGACCAAATCCTGACTGATAGCAGTCCATTCTTGCACAATCAATGCTTGAATTTTGTCAGAATTCCTAGGTTTTCGTTTTTCCTCCCGTCTCTTGATGATTGAGGTGGAGAAAGTACTCATACAATGTACTTAAGTAAAAGTACAAATACACAGACAAAAATTTACTCAAGTAAAAGTCAAAGTACCACATTATTATTTTACTTAAGTAAAAGTAAGAAAGTACAAGCTTTTAAAACTACTCAAGTATTACAAGTAAAAGTACTTGCCAACCATAATACCTAACGGCTTATATAATGTTATTAAGTGTACCAATCGTATTTAGTTTTAATAGATCAGTCCTGCGTACTGTGCTGCTCTTCTTGAGGGAGGGCCTAATGGTTATTTCACGCTTTGGATTGGTTCAGCGGACTGATTCTGCTCTCGCCATTGGATACTTTCAAACTAACGAACAAATCAAAAAAACCGAAATGCGTCTCGGATGTAACGAGTAACGAAATGCTGTATAGAAATGTAGTGAAGTAGAAAGTACAGATACT